TCAAACATTATGATTAAAGCACAGATTCTATGCCCTTCCTTCCTTCTCCTTCTTTCCCAGAACCATTATTGTGTTTTACTGTAATCTAAAGAAACATAACACATGAAAATAGAGTTTTCTTAGGCCTTGAAATACTGTAGTTTATTAAAAACTTCCAAAATACTTAAACCAAAGTTGTCTTTTTCTCATGTCTCTTAACTAGAATGATACTGAGTGTAACAACAGTAACAGGTTGTTCTACAAGGAAATATAACTTATAAGCAGTGAATGCTGAAACCTCACCTACTTACAAAATGAAATGTACCTTAGGCTATACAAGCAAACATGTTCCTGCAACTCCGCCGCTCTTTAAAAAAAAAAAAGTGGGAGGAAAAAAACCTCACCATTATATCAAATTCACTTTTCCCAATAAACCACCTATAATTTAGGAAAAAGCATTTTCTAAAATTCAACACCTATTCATAAAAACCCTTAGCAAACTGATAGAAGAAAATTTCCTTTATCTGGTAAAAGTATTTAAAAATCCACAGTAAATATCACACTTGATGAATTTATGAACTTTTACTTGCCAGCCACTATCACTACTTCCATGTACTAGACATCCCAGCAAGCACAAAAGGTTAAGAAAAAGAAATACAAACCAAAAGGATAGAAACAGTTAAGATAATCTTTAGGAACAACAACTATGCTCACACTACCAGCTATCAAGATAACATGCAAAAACCACAACGATTAACACAGTCTAGGTGTGTTGAAAGAACAGACAAGGCAACAGAACACAATTGAGAAACAAATCTATACATTCACTCACCTGGTTTATGACAAAGATGACAATGTAGTGGGAACATGACAGTTTTTCCAATAAATAATGAGGCAACTAGATGCCCATACAGTAAAAATGAAACCCTGCCTCAATCCTGCACTGCACACAAAATCAACTCCAGACAGAACATAGATCACAATATAATACTTTAGTTGTAAGTAGTCACAGAGGCCTGACAGTGGTAGCATCAGATAAAAACAAAACAAAGTAAAATAAAATAAAATAAGCCACTCAGGTCAAGAGCTAATTTAACAGCTAAGCCAAGCCTAGGGATCCAAAGATAACACAAAAACAAAGGATAAAGATTGAGATAAAAATAGTGACAAAGGACTCTTCCATGTAGGAGGCTGCTCCCTGAGTACCTAGACACGGACTTAAAAAAAAAAAAAAAAAATAACCTATTTCTCTTTTGAACTCATCTCCTTTAAAGTGAGTCTCCCAACCTCTTCCCTGCCCACCTATAATGGACCAAAACAAAGACCTGTGATTGGACTTCTTTCCCCTGTTGTTGAGGATCCCTCAAGAGCTTTTTGTTTATTATTATTTCTAATAAACATTCCTCTAAATTCGTTTTGTTCTCAAATTTATTCTTCAGTTTTTTAAGACAGCTCGAGCTTATACAAAATTAACTGTTTTATGAACTGTTTCAACATGCAAGGGAAGGCAATAAACCTAGAAGATAACACTAAGGATATGTTCAGATCATTCATAAGAAAGACTTCTTAAAAACAGAACAGCACTGGGGATGCAGTTCAGTTGCAGATTATTTACGAGCGTGCATAAAGCCCTGGTTTCCATCCCTAGCAAAGGAGGAGGAGCAATGAAAGAAGGCCCACTAGCCATGAAGAAAATAATTAAGAATTTCAGTTCAACAAAGGCACCATAATAAAATGTCAACTCAAGCCCTCAGGTAGAGAAGAAATTTATAACCCATAACTGAAAAAGCACCCATATCAAAAATATACAAAGAATTACTATTAATAAGCTAGAATGTGGCAAACATCCTCAGTGAAACTGGACAAGAATTCAGCATGCATTTTATTTTAAAAAATTAAAAATCTAAAACCAAATAAACATTTGAAAAGGTGATCAACCTCATCAGTTATTACTAGAACAGCTACCAAATACGACACATATCAAATGTTGTTAAGGATGTGAAGTAGCTAGCTGGACCTTTCACCACTGCTAGCAGGAGTTGTAAACCGGTATAACCACTTTGGAAAACAGCAGTACAATTAAAGCTGAAGATATAAATATCCTCTTTGAAAATTCCAGGCAAAAACTAGAAACAAAATGTTCAACTGAAAAAGTAAATGAAACTGTGATAGACATAATCTCCCTGGCTGCTTACACAAGCGGCATTCCTTAGAATATCCCTTACCTTCTTTGATTTACCTGGTCTTTCTATCACATATGATCTGACACTGCTAAATGTACCTACTGCATGTGTTCAGCACTAGTGCAATCTCTATGAAAGAAGGCATTGCTCTAGTTTGTTTGTTACTGCATGCCTAGCAGAACATGCACAACACACTCTGTGTTGAATAAATTTTATGGCTTGAATTCCCAGCTTGAAGGGACCAACTATTGAATGAAGTATATGGCTAACAGCTCCTTAAACTCTCTGGTTTAGTTTAACATAGTAAATATGAACAGCCTCCAACTAAGATCTGGTTTAAGCAGAATTTAAAATATTTACTCCTAATGAATTTAATTCTTCAATGTTCTATTGTCAGGAAAGTGCAAGCTAATTCAGATTTCAAAAGAACTACATTAGGCACTCAATAGTAAAGAAATTGTCCTAATGAGTTTTACAATTTTACTATTATCCTACAAATAAACTTATGAAAACATAGTATATTCCACTTTTTTCCTATTACAATGAAATCTTAATAGTTCTAATAACAATAAAAGATAATATCTGAGGATATAAAAGATATATCCAGAAATATCACCTCAACCAAGAAACCAAAATTCAACCTAATTCAAAGACAAAATCCCACTTAATATGATCTCAGTACAAGGAAACCACCTGAAACAGTGTAAGACACCCCCCGGCCCCTGCCCCAGCGCTAGATCATGTATTTTTATGGCACAGGTCACAGTCTACACAGGCTCCTAAGTAGCTTACTTTTTTTCTTAACCAAACACTGTAGGTTAATGCTGTTAAAAAAGATTCAGTTCAAAAAGATGATCCAAGTTTCCCTCTCCTTGTACCTTTTGTCAGACAATAAAAATTAAACTTTTGAGGGGGGAATAAAAGAAACCAACTGGAAGATGTCTGAACAAATTATAACAGCTCTGGAGTAACTAAGAAATAAACCTGCCTAACTGATGTTCAAACCAGCCAAGGCATTTTTCAAGCTCAGAAAGTATTTAGCAATTAAAGATACTGTACAATATCCAAGTTTACATAAAAACTAATTAAATCGTACCAACACCTTTTATTGAAAAACTAAAATTTCACCCAACTACACAAACTTTTAGGTAAAATAAAGTTGTGCTTTAAAACAATGGTGTCTTCTTATATAAGCATATGTGAATATTTATGCACATATAACTGGAACCATGCTATACACAATGTTTTACAGTTTTTAATGCCTACATAATAGCTAATCATATTTCATAAGTTATTTAATTAATCCCTAGTGTCAGATTTTTACTTTTTCATTATTACAAACAAAGCTACCGGAACTTTTCTTATGTCTTTTGGCTAGATCAACAAAGGAATAAGCCAAAATTTCCATGAATACAAATGTTTCTTGAAAATGTTTCAGCATTGACTCTTGAAGTGAAAGTGAAAACAGTACTAAAATATTTGATCCTGTATATTTACTTCAGATGTGGTGTCACTGAATTGGGATTATGGCTCTTTCATGCCCCTTGTTTGTTTTTTTCCCTCATTTTGCCAATTTTGTATGCTTTTTATTCAGTTCTGGAGCAGATGAACAAGGAAAAAAACCAGTAGATACCATGGTAAATCTTGTTATACCCATTGGCACAATTAGAAAAAAACTATGACCAACATTTAAACCACATGATTACCTAGCAGCTCTTCTCAATATAATTCAAAGCTCCCAGAGAAAAATATGTCTAAGCCTAAGCCATCCACTGTATGTAATGAATTCATTTCCCTCCTCTGCATCTAGGGCCAGCTAAGCCCCAACCCAGGAAAACTCAGGAAATGGTCATTCAAGCCATTTTCTTCAGGGTTTCATTCTCTCTGAGGGAACTTACAACAGAAAAGGCTTATATAAAGGAATAGCAATACACTCATAAGGACATATTTCTCTTTTTACATTCAGAATGTCACCACACTTCCAGTTTGGTACTAATGTCCACCATATACTCTCAAAACTGAACTGACTTTAAATTCTAAATAAAGCCCCTCACGAACATATTTAATTCACTACTTACCCAGTAAACCTTCTTGTATTAAACTGTAATTAAAGCAGAGCTGTATAACCAGTATATTTTGTGGCCTTATGGGTGTCCTGCCCACTGAAGCAGTTCCTCTATTAAGTAATCTCTTTCCTGAGGGGCTTTATCATGAAGCAGGAATTTCACTACTCCTGACAGACACGAATGCCTATTTTATGTGCCAAAATAGCATTAACACAACACAGGCAAATAATTTGGTAACATGGTCAATGTCCACTGAAAACAAGTGTTCAGTTTCCCACTGGACTATATAACTGCAAAGGCAGTTTCTTTCCTCAAATGAGCGGACATCATACCAGCATGCTGTTCAGAGCACCCCGAAAAGTATCCTTTGTATTTCAGCCACATTAACATCAGAATAAAACCAAGGACATCTCCTTAAAGATGCCAAATGAGGGGGCCGAGGATATAGCTCAGAGCACAGTGCCTGCTTGGCAAATGTGAGGTTGTTTGACCCCAGTAGAAAAAAAAAAATAAGCCAAACCGAAGAAAACGTAAGCAGAAATGCACACAGAATGGTACTAAAGAGATGAAAGTACCGTGCGTGGTGGTACATGCCTGTAATCCCAGCACTAGTGAGACTGAGACAGGAAGATCTCTGCAAAGTTCAAGGCCAGCCTGGGCTACAAAGTGCCCTTAAGGTCAGCCTGAACTGCACAGTGAGACCCTGTCTCAAAAAGAGAGAAAACCCCACCCAAAAAAAACCTAAAGAGATTATAGTAATTCCACTACAGACCACAGGCAAAGGAGACATCATCTTTTGAAGGTCTGGTTCACATTCTCTGCTTAATAAGAACAAAAATGTAAACAGTTCTGTCACAATGGAACAAATTTTCAGGACAGTTTCTTCTTTCCTTTTCAATTTTCTCTGAAAAAAAAGATGCATCAATATCTTGTAACTTAAACACATTAAATAAGATGAATTTTTAAAGCTCCTACCTTAGAAAGAAGTCACCAAGTTTAAAAGCCAAAATTAAATATAATACTAAGAAAAAATATGGCTCCCAAAAGGAGAACTAATGCAAAAATAAAAACTAAGCCAATCTGAACAAAGTGGGAAAGAGTCCCCTAGTTTACCCCAACAGGTGGTTTCCAAGCAAAGCAGGATTTCTTAGGGTCTATGAGAACTCTCATTAAGTTGAGGTCAGTATACCTGCATGCCTCTGTAAGTAGTCATTTTCACACCGGAATATTCCATAGGAAATGTTAGGATTTCTCAGATCTTCGTAGTTTTGAAGCAATTTCCTGCCTACAATCCATGATACTCTCTCCCAATATAACCCAGAACGATTTAAGTAAATTAACGTTACTTTTTAAAAAATAAAAACAAGATCTCGCTTTGTAGTTCAGGCTGGCCTTGAACTTAGCGATTCTCCTGCCTCAGCCTCCTGAGAGCTGGGATTACAGGCAACTGATAGGACTACAAGTACACACGAGCAGGCCTGGCTAAAAGTTATTTAAGAGAGAACCTTAAATATCACAAAATCCACGGAAATTTTTCAGATTTCACAACAAAACCTCGAGTACACTTTTCCACATACAACCCCATCAGTAAATGCAACACGTTCTCCTCGCTTCCCTGGTAGTTAAAAACTCATCTATTGTAAGACTCAAAATTTAACAGAACGGCCTTCTACTTTGTCAAATACTAAACCTCCAAGGCCTGGCTTGCACAGAATACGTAGCATAACATACTAAAGCTTTTACCTGCAAATAATGAGCGACACAGTATACATACATTTTTAGCAACGCTGAGATCATAAGCTTTAAAAAAACAAACAGTGAACATTTCCATTCACAGTGCACCTCCCAAAATTCCCACGTTTTCTTCTACGCTCTAGTTAAAAGGACTGGCACCTCCTTCATCCCCCCTCCGCTCCAAGGTCAGAAGGCTCCAGACAAAATAGACAACAAACGCACGTGACAAAAGTTTCTCCCCGCACTCTCGCTCCCGGGGCCTGGAGGCTGCGCTCCTCCCGCGCGGGGCGGACACGCGCGGGGCCCCAGGCCGGGGATGGCCAGGGGCCGCGGGGGCCGCAGGGC